GCACGAGGCCGAACAGCGTCAGTGGCGCCTCAGGAACCACCTGCAATTGGCAGCCAAAGGTGAGCAAAAAACACCCAAATTTAACCCAAAAATTATCCAAAAAATGTTCAAAATGTTGCCCAAAAAATCCCCATAAAAATTGTGAAAAGATTCCCCCAAAAAATCCCCAAAAGAATCGCAAAAAGAAGCCAAAAATTGCCCTCAAAAAACATCAAAAAAACCCCAAAATCACCTGAAAAAAAGCCCAAAATTCAGCTCAAAAATTACCACAAAAATTGCCAAAAAAATTCACCGAAATTCACTGAAAAAATTGCCCTAAAAATTGCCCAAAAAACCCCAAAAAAACCTCCAAAAAACCATCAAAAGTAACCCCCAAAAAACCCCAAAATCACCTGAAAAAAAACCCAAATTCACCCCAAAAAAATGCAAGATTTTCGAAATCCATTCAAAAAATCAAATTTACCCCCAAAAACCCCAAAATTTCCCCTCAAAAAACCCAAAATTTGCACAAATATCAAAAATTCCCCTCAAAAATCCCCTCAGAACCGCCCAAAATTCACCCCCAAACCCTCAAAATTCACCCCAAAAACTCCCTAAAATCCCCACAAAAGCCCCCAAAAAACACCCCAAACCCACAAACACATTAAAAAAATCAAATTTACTCTAAAAAAACAAAAAAAAATGTTCCAAAAATGTATTTTTTTTCTTTTTTTTAGGTCCTCTGAGGCAAACGTTGGCCCAGAACCCCCTGAGGGCCCCCGAGACCTCGACCAAAACCCCTCAGGAAACCCCAAAAAGGCCCTGGAAGGAAACTTTGGGGTGACCCCCGAAATAAACAGGAAAAAGTCGCTTCGGTTTTGGGGGAAAATCGGGAAATTTGGGGAAAAAAACGGCGGAATTTGGGAGGTTTGAGGGAAAAAACGGCGCGATTTGGGAGGTTTGGAGGTTTTTTGGCCGTGTGAGGCTTCCGTACAAAATGGCGGCGCGCGGTGAGAGTTCCGTACAAAATGGCGGCGCCCATGAGGAGAGGGCAAAATGGCGGCGCCCGTGAGGGGTTCCGTACAAGATGGCGGCGGTGCACGGAAAAAAAAACCGGAAAAACAGAAAAAAACATAAAAAACCACAAAAAAACCACAAAAAAACCCATTAAGAAAAGATAAAAAGCACAAAAAAACAAGAAAAAACTCAAAAAAGCCCAAAATACAGAAAAAAAAACTCAAAAAAAACCAAAAAAAAAGCCTTAAAAATGTCATTTCCCGCCTTTTTCCAGGTCCCCCAAGCAGGGACCACAAAACCCCACAAAACTCAAATTTTTTTCCCAAAATCCCCAAATTTCACCCCAAAATTTCCCGTTTTTTCCTACCTCTTTTAACCCTTTTCTCCCCATAAAAAAAACACACAAAACCACTCATTTTTCCTCCAAACTTTATTGTTTTTCCACCATTTCTTCACCATTTTACATCGTATTTTCACCATTTTTTCACCGATTTTCACCATTTTTTTTCCCAAAAACCCCAAATTTTCCCCCATTTTTTAACCCTTTCTACCCCACAAAAAAAACCACAAAAACCCACTCATTTCTCCTCCAAACTTTAATGTTTTTTCACCATATTTTCGCCATTTTTAATGTATGTTCGCCATTTTCCATCGTATTTTCGCCATTTTTTCACCGATTTTCGCCATTTTTTCACCGTTTTTCCCCAAAATTCCCATTTTTTTTCACTCCCCGTACTCATCCTGCAAATCAGCGACGTTGTCAACACTGACCTGTCTCCACCCATCTTTCCCCACATGAAACACCCTGACAATTCCCCCGGAATAGGCGTCTCTCCTGGTGGCGTGGTAGATGGCCCTGAGCCCAAAACCCCCAAATTCACCCCAAAACCCCCCAAATTCACCCCAAAATTCCTGAATTTCATCCCAAATTTTTCTCCATTTTTTTAACCCTTTAAACCCCATAAAAAACACACAAAACCACTCGTTTTTCCTCCAATTTTTGCCATTTTTTCACCATTTTTTCATGATATTTTCACCATTTTTTTGTCATTTTTTCACCATTTTTTCCCAAATCCCCATTTTTCACCCCAAAACTTTCCCATTGTTTCCACATTTTTAACCTATAAGAAACCCACAAAACCACTCATTTATCCTCGATATTTTATTGTATTTTCATCGTATTTTCGCCTTTTTTCCTCCAATTTTCACCAATTTTCGCCTTTTTTTCCCCATTTTTTCCCATTTTTTCCCAAAATTCCCAAATTTTCCCCACATTTTCTCCATTTTTTTAACCATTTTCTCCCCATACAAAAGACACCAAACGACCATTTTTCCTCCAAACTTTAATGTTTTTTCCCCGTATTTTCGCCATTTTTCATCGCATTTTCGCCATTTTTCCACCTATTTTCGCCATTTTTTCACCATTTTTTCCCATTTTTTTCCCCAAAATTTCACTCCCCGAACTCATCCTGCAGATCAGCGACGTTGTCAACACTGACCTGTCTCCATCCATCTTTCCCGACGTGAAACACCCTGACAATTCCCCCAGAATACGCGTCCCTCCTGGCGGCGTGGTAGATGGCCCTGCGGCCGATGGCGCTCGCCTCCTCCTCGCTGGCCACGTGGCTACCGAGGCTCTCCCTGCGCCCAAAACCCCACCAATTCACCCCAAAATTCACAAATTTCATCCCAAATTTTTCCCCATTTTTTTAACCCTTTCTACCCCATAATAAAGACACAAAACCACTCATTTTTCCTCCAATTTTTGCCATTTTTTCACCATTTTTTCCTTGATTTTCACCATTTTTTCACCTTTTTTTTCCAAAGTTCCCAAATTTCACCCCAAAATTTCCCCTTTTTTTCTACCTCATTTAACCCTTTTCTCCCTACAAAAAACACACAAAACCACTCATTTTTCCTCCAAACTTTATTTTATTTTCACCGTATTTTCGCCATTTTTTAACGCATTTTCGTCATTTTTTCACCTTTTTTCCCCATTTCTTTCCCAAAATTCCCATTTTTCACTCCAAAACATTTCCCATCTTTCCCACATTTTTAACCCCGTTAAAGACACAAAACCACTGATTTCTCTTCCAAACTTTATTATTTTTTCACCATTTCTTAGTCATTTTTCCACCTATTTCCACCATTTTTTCACCGATTTTCGTCATTTTTTTTCCCAAAATTTTATTTTTTCACCCCAAATTTTCTATTCCCCATACTCCTCTTGCAGATCCGCCACATTATCCACGCTGACCTGTCTCCATCCATCCTTTCCAACGTGGAATACTCTGACGATTCCCCCAGAATAGGCGTCTCTCCTGGCGGCGTGGTAGATGGCCCTGCGGCCGATGGCGCTCGCCTCCTCCTCGCTGGCCACGTGGCTACCGAGGCTCTCCCTGTGCCCAAAACCCCACAAATTCACCCCAAAATTCACAAATTCACCCCAAAATTTTCCATCCTTTATTAACATTTTCTACCCTATAAAAAACACACAAAATCCTCAATTTTCCTCCAATTTTTGCCATTTTTTCCCAATTTTTTTCTCCATTTTTCTTGTATTTTCGTCCTTTTTTCTCCAATTTTTGCCATTTTTTCACCGATTTTCGTCATTTTTTCACCGATTTTCACTGTTTTTTTCCCCAAAATTCCCAGATTTTCCCCGCATTTTCCCCTTTTTTTAAACCTTTCTACCCCATAAAAGACACACAAAACCATTTTTCCTCCAATTTTTGCCATTTTTGTCACCATATTTTGATGGATTTTCACCATTTTTTCATCATTTTTCGTCCGATTTTCGTCATTTTTTCACCCATTTTTTCCCCATTTTTTCCCAAAATCCCCAAATTTTTCCTGAATTTTCCCATTGTTTTTAACCCTCTCCACCCCATAAAAGAGACCCAAAACGAGTCATTTCTCCTCCAAACTTTATTATATTTTCCCCGTATTTTCGCCATTTTTCGTCATATTTTCACCATTTTTTCTCCGATTTTCATCATTTTTTTTTCCCAAAATCCCATTTTTTCACCCCAAATTTTTTATTCCCCATACTCCTCTTGCAGATCAGCCACATTGTCAACACTGACTTCTCTCCATCCATCCTTCCCAACATGAAAAACCCTGACAATCCCCCCGGAATACGCGTCTCTCCTGGCGGCGTGGTAGATGGCCCTGCGGCCGATGGCGCTCGCCTCCTCCTCGCTGGCCACGTGGCTACCGAGGGCCCGGTCCAGGACGCCGTAGGCGTAGCACGAGCCCGAGCCCACGGCGAAGGCGGCGCCGGCCACGCGCTGGCCCTCGCTGTCCACGTAGTACAGGCCTGGAACGGGAAAAAAAC